CCTCCTGCCAAGGAGGGAGGGAGGCCAACGTGGCCAGCTGAGGCTTCTGCTTGTCCTGCTTTCTCCTGCGCCTCCCCGGCCCTGCCGGGCCCTGCTCTGCTGGCCCAGGGGCTCAGCCCCGGCCGGCGCAGCGGGCTCCTGCTGCTCCCGCTGGCCCCGTGCCCGGGGCAGGCGGACGTGTGTCCCACCGCTGGCACAGCCAGGGCTGCCTGCCCGGCCCTGCTGCCGGGCCAGCCTGGCCCGGGCTCTGCCCACCCCTGCTTTGTTTCTGTCTTCACACTCAATAAAGTTCACTCTGCATTGGAACTGGAGGCTCCTGGAATTCCTGCCCTGCTGGGATGTGCAGCACAGCTGCTCCATGGGGGCTGTGATGCTCTGGGGGGGTTTGGGTGGTTAAAGGGCAGGGATGGACCTTTCTCACACCTGGGCAAGGTGAGAACCTCCAAGGCAGTGGCTGCAAGCGCCATGGGGCAGTGGAGGGCGTGTGTCCTCGTGTGGGCGTGCACAGGGCGAGCAGGAGATGCCCCAGGGCACAGCTGAGCCAGACTGAGGTTGGAGACCTGCTGAGGGTGGATGTGTAACGTGGACATGGGACAGGGATGGACACGCAGGGACCATGATCCCTCCTCTGAGGGAGGGCAGCGGTGACGTGACATGGCCTGGGACAGTATCCAGGCCTAGAAGGGAGCAGTGGAATAATCTTCTCCCGCACCCAAATTGTCATGTGGTCAAGGCATTAATTGCTGTGGAGTCATTCTATGTGCCACCGTGTCCGGAAGGGGCAGGAGTCTGGAGCAGACCTGCAGAACTCTGCTGTGCAGAATGGCCACTTGATCTTGGAGCTTTTTTCCAGCCTTGAGGACTCTGGGATTGCTCCAGCAGAGTGACCCATGCTCAGTCCATTTCCCCTGCACCAACACCTGGCACAAGACTCACTTTTCTCTTTGCACACCTGCCCTGGGTGCCATGTGTCACCTCAGAACCTTTGGCTGTCCCTGTGCCCCAGGCTTTGGATGCTGTGCTTGGATGCAGCCAAGGAAAACAACCACTTGTAGCTGGAAATGCACAACAAAGGCTTTGGGAAGAGGTCTGTAAATCTTCACAGAGATCTCTTCTGGAAGGTCAATGTTCTGCCTCATCAACGGGAACCCAATGTCCAAATTCTGGAAGGTCAATTTTTGCCTCAAAAACTGGAAACCAATGTCCAACCTCCCTCCTGGATGAAATGTCCTCTGGAGCACCTCATAGTCACCATATGCACAATCACAAGGCCACACTCCCTCCAATCCCACATAAACCCCCCAGGGCATCACAGCCCCACATCCCAGCAGGAATTCCAGGAGCCTCCAGTTCCAATGCAGAGTGAACTTTATTGAGTGTGAAGACAGAAACAAAGCAGGGGTGGGCAGGGCCCGGGCCAGGCTGGCCCGGCAGCAGGGCTGGGCAGGCAGCCCTGGCTGTGCCAGCGGTGGGACACACGTCCGCCTGCCCCGGGCACGGGGCCAGCGGGAGCAGCAGGAGCCCGCTGCGCCGGCCGGGGCTGAGCCCCTGGGCCAGCAGAGCAGGGCCCGGCAGGGCCGGGGAGGCGCAGGAGAAAGCAGGACAAGCAGAAGCCTCAGCTGGCCACGTTGGCCTCCCTCCCTCCTTGGCAGGAGGGCTGCAGGGGCCAAAGCCTCTGGAAACGCTGGCCAGCAGCTCCAGGGGACGCTTGGCCTGGCGAGGCACTCGCTGGACGTCCGGCCCGGCTCTAGCAGGGCAGGCACCTGCGGCCGCAGTAGCGGCCACCAAGGCCAGAGAGCCCCGAGAGCCCAAAGCCCCCCGAGTTGATGGGGACTCCGTCCTCGCTCAGGATGCTGCCCACGGCGGCGGAGGTGGAGGATCCCACGGCGGTGTTCTGGGGGAAGGAGCTGAGGATGGGCCCGGGCAGGGTGACCACCACGGGGGAGGGCTGGATGATGACGCGGGAGTCCTGGCACTGCCGGACACAGGGCTCGTTGCAGCTGTTGGCCAGCGGCGTGGGGCCGCAGGGCCGGCACAGGTCGTAGCAGGACATGGCTGTGGCTGGAGGAGAACCTGCAGAGAGGACAGCCAAAGCACCCACGGGCTGTGAGGCACCCAGGGAGATGCTGCTGGGCAGGACAAAACACAGCCTGGGCACAAGGGACAGCCTGGAGAGGGAGGAAGGCAGCAATTCCACAGCCCTGAGCCCAAAGAGTTCCCTGCAAAGGAATCCAAACATCTCCCACCTGTCCCCAGGAAAAAACATCCACAAAAACCTGCTGAGAGCAGGAGCAAGGAGAAAGACTCTCAGAGACCACCAGGGAGAGGCAAAGCTTCCATTGAGGGCCAAGGCAGAAGGGAAGAGAAGAGAGGAAGAGAAGAGAGGAAGAGGGAGGCAAAGGCCCTTGCAGCTCACCTGTGTCACCGAGGAGGAGAAGGCAGGAGAGGTGGATGAGGGATCCTCACTTGCTCTGCCTTTTATACCGTCCCACAAAGCCCCGGGCCCGACGCGCCTTCAACAGGGAACGTATTTACCAACAAGCTCATATTTTATGCAAAGCATCCCCAATTAAGTAAACTGGAGGTTGTTTACACTCCCTGCAAGGCTGTCTTTTCATTTCCCTGTGCAGGACATGCCCATTCAGCCAAACTGACTCCTTTCAAGTGGCAGCATTAGAGGCCAAAAGGTTTTTAGGGTATTTTTTAGCCAGAACCAGGCTGATGTTGCAGCCAGCTGGGTGGAGTGGAGCCGTATTTCCAGGTGATGTCAGCACCTTCCTCTCCTGAGGCAGCTCTGAGCCTTTGGAGTGATAAATGTAGTTTTTTTATTATAAACCCAGAATTAAAGGGCTGGCTTTGGCTGGGACTGGCCGTAGACATTGCTCCCTGTGACTCCAAGGCCTTTCAAGCCTTCTTAGACATCATTTATTCATCAGAGAGACTACATGGGTTGGTTTTTAACTTTCTTTGGGATCTCATATTGCCTTTAGAAGAAATTGTCTCGTTTCTTCTGCCTTTCACCTCTTTCAGCATCGCCTGGAGTTCTCCAGTCAGCAGGACAGGACATTTCCAGAAGGAAGGACGCTGCTTTCCCAACAACAAATATTAGTCAGGGTCATTAGCTTGCAGAAAACACTCCCTAATGAGAACATCTGACTTCAAAATCCTCCTTCCATTCCCCAGGGCCATCCCTCCACTCCTTTTCCCCCCTGCCTCCGAAGAGACCCTACGCCCGGTCCCAAACACTCGGGAATATTTCCGAGCAGCACACAGGGAGCATCTGAGGGCTGGCAGCGCCCACAAACCCAGCCTGGGGAGCAGCAGGGGCCAGGATGTCCCCAGAGATGCCCGGCAAGGGAAGGATTCCACACTCTGAGCTGCATTTCCTGGGGCAAGAGCAGAGCTGGTGACCCCAGGAGCGGTGACAGCCCTGCCCAGCCACCACCGTGACCCCCCTCATGGCAAAGGGGGCAAAACTCCTGTACCAGCAAGGCTGGGACTCCATCAGAGACACAAAAATCTTAAATCCCAGAGGTCCAAGCCAGATTCCTCATCCAGGAGGATGAAGGGAGCTCTCAGGTTGACAGGAGAAGTTTTTCCAAACAAACCCATTCAGGACAAGACCCCAGGTGTGAACAGGGCAGATCTAGCAGAGATTTTCCTTCAAAACCCACCCATCACATTTCCATCCAGGCATTTCCATGTAAATCCCTTTGACAGGTAAAAAACTGAATGCAACAAAGGCATTTCCAGCCCTCTCTCCCTGGCCCAGCCCTCCCCACTGAGGGTCTCCATAAAGCCTGCCACCCACCCCATTCTCTCAGGGGTGCCTTGGGGGTGGTGCCTCCCTTCCTGGGTTCCATTTTGACTCCGTGGCTCCAAAGTCCCCTCCTGGCTCATACAGGGATGGGAGGGCATTTCCACAGCAGATAAAGAGACAGAGCAACTTGGCAGGATGGCTTTATTTCAGACATGAAGCCCCAAAGAGGGCAGAGGACCAGCCTTGGACTGTCAGCAGATGACAGCAGGGCCAGGCACATCCCATCCCCTGGGGAGAAACACTGCACAGAAAGCAGGAAAAGAAAATTGGGCACGATGTTGACTTTGGCAGTTGCACTGTTGGGTACATGTCCCTTCAACTCCTTTGGGACTCCCCCTGCACTCAGGGCTTGGGAGAAATGCTTGAGGAGGGAAGGCAAAGGTCCAGGGGTAGGTGGTAAAGCACAACCACAGCCTTGGGCAGGTGGGTGGAACTGGCACAGAAACATCGGTCAGTGGCTTGACTCATCGGCTTCAAGTTGTCCAACCTCAGTCTGGCTCAGCTGTGCCCTGGGGAATCTCCTGCTCGCCCTGTGCACACCCACACGAGGACACACACCCTCCACTGCCCCATGGCGCTTGCAGCCACTGCCTTGGAGGTTCTCACCTTGCCCAGGTGTGAGAAAGGTCCATCCCTGCCCTTTAACCACCCAAACCCCCCCAGGGCATCACAGCCCCCATGGAGCAGCTGTGCTGCACATCCCAGCAGGGCAGGAATTCCAGGAGCCTCCAGTTCCAATGCAGAGTGAACTTTATTGAGTGTGAAGACAGAAACAAAGCAGGGGTGGGCAGGGTCTGGGCCAGGCTGGCCCGGCAGCAGGGCCGGGCAGGCAGCCCTGGCTGTGCCAGCGGTGGGACACACGTCCGCCTGCCCCGGGCACGGGGCCAGCGGGAGCAGCAGGAGCCCGCTG